AAATCTTCCATGCCCAAACAGATTAACCACTCAGAGAATTGGCGACTGTAGTAAACCTCATTCTAATATGCTGTTCAGAGTTCATGCATCGCTACAATTGATAGGGTGAGTGATTCCCATGCTTTGTCACACTTTCTGCAGTCATGTTATTTCGACTTCAATTGCTTGTATACAGACGATTTAGTTCAAAACCAACCCCCTCGCCACCAAATGGATCTGTAACGACCTCCTCCGCATGCTAACGGGAGCGGGGAAACAGAGGGACATGACAAATGATGCTGACCAAATCATCTGGAGCATCTCCAAGCAAACACAAATGGAACGACTTCCGTTGTCATCAGGTCCCGCGAGCCAGAGGTTCTCTACTCGACTGCTGAGCTGATGCTGACGCAATGATGTTGAGCGCTGATGCTGAGCGCTGACGCTGATGACGCTAACCAGAACCATGAGCAGCTGCTGAGCGCTGGACAATGAGCACAGTCCTGAACTGAATCCTGATACACACGGGGCGGCAGTCGGCACCTCCTGGCCACCCTGGCCGGGAGACAGCCCTAATCCGATGTTTATTCGCCAGAGGAAATTGTGATGGATGGGTGGCGTATCCACGTGGGTCTGAAGATGGATAGGCTGCGTGGGCTGATCTCCCTTCCGGCTGTGGATTACGTGGCTCGGAGGCACGGATGTGCAGTCATTTGACGATCTGAAATGAGCTTGATTCATTCAGATGGTAAGGATGAAGGAGTGACAAAGAAGTGCTCATCGACAAGCTTCCAAAACACATTCAGAGAAGGAACTACATGACATAAGAAAATTAAGAATGTACTAAACAACATTACATTGCCACGGATTTGGCACATATTTTTCACCACTATATCAATGCCTCAACTCCCCCGCCACGGTATTTTCTCCTCCAAATTCAAAGCCCACCTCGGTCCCCTGCTGGAGTCCGACGTGAGTCAATTATTGCCGTCCTTACTCCGCGGATCCATAGTCGTTCCCTCGGGCGCCGCGCTAGTGATCTACTTCGCACACTACCCCTCCCTCCCCTCTCTCCCCTCCCCTGTGAGCCAGCCAGGTGACGCGTTCGAGTTTGCCGGCTCTCGGAATTCTCCGGCGATGGAAATTACTGTGCCATTACGCGTACGGCCGGTGCTGAGTTGTTTTGTTTATTGGGGTGTGCTGCGGCCGCAGGGGTGGGAGACTGGCCGCCATTACTGGCAATCAGCTCGCCACTTGTGTGTATATGTGTGTGTGTGGGGGGGGGGGGGGGTTGCCGCGGGTTCTCGGATATGATAATCCGAACGTAGAATGCCCTGGGGCAGTGAGTAAAAGTGACCTCTCTCTTACCGTTGAAAATGCTACTCTGCATCTGGAGCTTTTCTGATCTCTGATCTTCACGGCATAAAAATACTGCTTATAATCGGTAGAATCATTACAAGGAAAACATGTCTTCGATGGAAGCATCACAAAACAAGAACAGAACATCAGTGATTGATCTTTTATTTAGAAACATGATAAAGTGTTCCATCCAAAAAGTGTCAGCGAGTGCAGGTGTCAACGGTCAAGTATGGGATTTGCCTAGTCTTCAAATGAGTCGCACAGTCACATAATCACAAGTCTGTTTACCCCATTCAGTTCATTTGCATGTAAATCAGTTTCCGAGCTAAATGAATATCGATGACGTTCGTTTCGGTGCCGTTCCGGTGACAGAAGTCTACCGGCTAGCTCAGCCCACCGGGGAAATGCAATTATTTCTGTCTTCATCGCTCTTCGTTATACCATGTTATACCTTATACAAGGATAAATAAGAATGCTTTGGATGAACTTACATTATAGAAAGCCACTCGATGAAATATAGAGAAATTTTCAAAATAGTTTTCAAAGGTAGGTATTGAACTAAAAAGCACTATTTAGCAACCAATGTTGACAGCAAACAAACCAAGCAAACATCACTTTGGAGTCATGTTCTCCTTGACATTCCGCGCTGCCCTTTCGAGCTATGTGATTCCTCTAAGTGATCATTCTGCTTCTCTTCGTTCGCCTATCTTCATTTCCTTACATTTAGTCCGACTGGTTTGCATGGACGGCTTTTAGAAACAAGGAGTTGGGGCAAAGTAAGCACTTCCGCGCATTGTACATATGCAGAGGTTGTGTGCATGTCCTGGCTCTAATCCAGAATTGGAGGATCAAAAGCATGCGATAGCATGCTTTTGCATCCGGAAATTCCCATTGGTGGGTCGCTGAAAAAAAAGTTCGGCTGAACCTGTTTGTCAGTGAGTATGTGAGTGAGTTTGTCCAAGCTTTTTTGGACCTGGAGTCAAAATGGGTGGACCGATCGGGACGAAAGTGGGACCGTTTGATTCGTCTCCGGCGAGGTAAACTTTTGGTGCTGGCCTCGATTCGCTCGGTGCTTCGTGGCACATGCTATTCCGCTTCAAAGTTTCGGTGACACGAAATTTTTTGTCAAGGCTTCAGGTCAACCCGAGGTCACGGGCAAAGCCATACTGGCGGGACACATCGGTAACACCTTGAACCAGTTTCCAGGGGGGTCACCGTCTGCGAGGGGTACAGGCTGCACTCGTGCTGGGGTCGGAAAACCGTTTTGACGTGAGGTCCTCTGGCTCAAAGAAATTTTAAGCTATCAACCTCAAAATCGGTTCAATGGTAGTCCCAGGCAAGGCCTCCAAAATAATGCACATTTGGTTGAGCTAAACTCTGTGGTGCATGAGCTATGCACGTGCAAGCCGATTGCACCCCTTCGTACGTTGCCACGCCTGCAGGGTAAACGGCAGCTCTAACTGGTTCAAAACTTGCAGGCCATAAGAAAAATACATTTGATCACGACATTCCGGCGAGATAATATCCGAGGGGTGCAAGCTGCGCGTGCGGGGGGCGGATAACGGTTTTGACGAGGGATCCTCTGATCCCGGGAAACGTCGATCTAGCGACACAAAAGTCGGTTTTTAATGAAGTCATTGGGCTATGGATCCTCCAATTCTGGCCCAAGGCAACGTACGAGCGCTGCCGGCATCTAGTAAAATACCGATTGCGAAGGATGTACTGCGTACTGTCTGTCATCCTCACACGCAAATATGTACCTAGAGGGAAGTCGTTTCTCAAATTGTAAAGAAAGTAGAAGCTGCTCATTTCGAAGTTTAAAGTGCTGTAGAAACCCACCTGGTAATCCTGCAAATGACCTAGTGACATGTGTAAAGCATGGACGCTCATTCAAAAGATTCAGGCGTCTTGAAGAAAAAAACTAAAGGGGTTCATGTCTCTAAATTAAAAACAAAAACGTTCCGCGAATAAAAACTCTTGGAATGTGGGCTGCCATAAACACGACTTCTGTGATGTGGCTCTGAGGAGAAACAAGCATCTAATTACCGGTAATTAAATGTCACAGAAACACACACGGCACGGTATAATAGCTTGCCGAGGGCAAAGCCTGCAGAGAGGGTGATGACAAGTTTCGTGTGCAAGACGTGACACATTTGATTTACCGCTACATGATCATGAAGTTTAAAACGCCTGTTCAATTTTCGGTCCGAGCTTCGGGAGAAAGTAAACTAGTAAACAAAGAGTTAATTGGCGGCTGCGCGCTGTCTATACCCCAATCTTTCACGCAGGAGCGGCTATTTAGCGTTGAAATATGACACAATTTCACCGGGCAGCGTGGTGGATGCTTTTTGCTTCTGGTTGCGGTGTGATAGAAATGAAACCGTCTGGTAATGGCCATACAGACTATCACTCCGCATCGAAGCAGCCAGCATCCAGCCAGTCATGCACTTATTCCACTCTTAGTATGTAAAAACTTTGGTAAGAGCAAAATTAATCACCCTTTCAATCCAGCCCACGTCTTTTCATTGTCATACTCAGTTGAACAGAGCTATGCGGCAATTTTTGCATTCTTGTTTTGGAAGGTCTCATGGCAATGCCAGACCATGTCGTGCCAATTAGCTAAACGATACCTATCATTTATCGACGTTGAATGCATTGATATGTCTCATACATTGGCTCTAATTGTCCTTTACCTGCGTCACAAGAGAAGAACAATAACTTACGCGGCCAAATACGTGCAAGATTACGCTCAATAGCCAATAGCCATACGTTGAGACCGTACGTGCCACTGCTGTCATTTATCAAACATCGCAGGAATTGCACAACGGCATTCAGTGATAAATTGATCACAATGGCAAATAAAAAATAAAATAAAAATAGCCATATGCGGACGAGAAAACGCTATGACGTATCCACGCAATCCATGCGATGCACGTGCAGACTGTTGGGCAGTAATCATCCTTATTTTGTCAGATACCTATATGATATAGTACTTAGTAGCAATTTTAGTGCATCAACAACCGATCGAACGTTGTCGTTGGAAAGCGATGATATTCACAGAAGTGTCAAATCAGAACGCGTGTTTTGTATCTGGTTGACCACGGCATGCTTATCCAAAAACAGTTTGCATGACAACTTTTAGCTCAATTGAGTGAAGAGTGATAACACAGTGACTCTATATCAGGCCACGGTTTGAAAATATCGGATACAACATTGAAGCCACGCCGAGGCTGCTAAATAGCTTGTTTTGTCTTTCCCATGAATTATTTGACTTCGCTATCGCATTGCAATTATAACAAACACAATTTATTTATTATTTATTAAACTTCACCGCAATGAGCGGTGTTCGGTCGCAACCCTGAAACACAAAGCCACAACAGCAGATCGTTTAGCCTAATGATATGCCTTACTGGAAGTCGGTCTACCCTCCACGTGGGCGTCTGTTGATCATTCATTAGCCCCCAAAAATCGAAAGCCGATCAGTTATAGGCGCGACAGCGCTCTGACGCCAGTGTCGACCGTTCCACAGAAGTCATATATTGCCGGTTTGTGAGCGGCGTCATTAGTAATGATTGGTGGCGACTGCAAGTACGACAATGGGACTGCGTACCACCTTGTGGCGCTGCGAATAGGGAGGTGGTTGCCCCTTGGCGCTCATTCCCGGGTGCTCGTTGGACTGGGTCGGTAGAGGCTGGCGATTACGGGCTAGGGTCGAGGGTAGAAATATGATTTTAGCCTTTGTATTTGTGGTTTTTGGTTTGGTTTTACAGCTTGGTGCAGCTAATGTTTCTCCAAGTGGACTTAATTTGTTTGGATATCTGCCGTCGGAAGAAGAAATTGAGGTTTATGCAGGTAAGGTTTATGCACCGGTACCGAATGGCTTTTCACGTGATACGAATGTGCTTTGCTGAATATCTACATAGCGCTTAGTACCTATTACCAATAAACGCAAAGCCCAAAATTAGTGATAATTCGTTTGACATGCAAGAGTCGATAATTTCCTATTAGAAAAAAATGTCATGACTTTCCCGGGTGTGGGTAGGACTAGATATGTCGTCAAAAGACTTTATATGGTTTAAACATGAACATTGTTTATTTTCCATCCTCTTATTGATAGAAAAATATTTCCATTAACCATATTGTTTATGCATGAAAAGCTCGCTGAAGGAGGAACATATATTAGCCATATCGGCCACAAATAATTTGTTTATTTCACTGCCATATAAAGGAAAATGGATCTGCGTTCCGTTTTGCTGAGTGGTGTAGTATCACGTAGGCATTTACGTCGTCAAATACCAGGTTCCACGAGATGCGGAGGTAAAACTTGAAAAAGCAGCACTTTGGCGTCAACAGATTACCAACAGCGCACGTATGATATTGCAATGGCTATTTGAGCCTTGTTACGACCAGAAAATATAGTTGTAATTCCAAAACAAAATGTCGCAAAGCGTTCGACAATATTCAGTCAAAATTGGGAAATAATATCAATTGAAACATTTATATGGAAAATTAGACCTCGACCTTTACAAATGTCACATTCAGCTATCGTTACCAAATGACTATAGGTAGTTACACAAATCTGCATGCAGGAAGGAAGAGGGAAAACAGTAATCACCTCCGTTGTGGGCAAGGATGATTTTCTACATTCACACGCACTAAGATAGGACAAAGGCAGGTATTTATTTCTGACCGGACCTTGGTCTCCGCCGCAGCCGAGACGGACTGTCAGTGCCGTCAAATGTGCTTCGTGCGCCCGGCATGTGCCAGCGCCAGTTTCTCGCCTCGGACCGGCTCGTGCCACCTCTACCGCCGCGTGGCGCTCCGCGGGGGCCTGCTGCCAGACCCAGAGCAGGTCTATCACGTCCTGCCCGGCCGCAGCGGGCACGGGGAGTACTGCTCATCCCCCGGGGACTGCCAGCAGCCCGGCGACCGCTGCCTGGGGTACTCCTGCCAGGAGAGTGAGCACCTGACCTGCCGCGTCCTGAAGGACCTCTACGGAGTCAACGAGTCGGGCGTCCACTGGGGTGGCGTGGCCGGAGTGACCATGCCACTCTACTGTGATATGGTCTACCAGGAGGGAGGCTGGACGCTGCTGCTCGCCGCCGGTGGCGCCACCTGGAACACCACCAGTGCGCTCTGGCGGCCAGACGACGAAGACACACCAGACCCGAGCAGACCGTTCTCCATCTACAAATACGCCGACACCATCGCAGCTTCCGGTATAATCAACGGTACCGACGACTTCTACCAGATCGACGTGTACGACGTCGAAACTATCAGCGGAGGCACGTGGCGTGTGCCGCGCACAGAGTCGCTCCTGGGCTCCTCCGTCAGCGCCTATCAGCTCACCCTGGAGAACGGACGACAGTACGGGGGATGGAAACTGAGCAGGGCCAACCCGGTGGTGCCCTGGCTGGCCTCTGGGGTTGACCCGGAGACGTTCGTCTCTGTCAGTCAGACCCCGGATATCAAACCGGCAGAGGGGGTGCTCCTGGGGGCTGCTCCTGGCATCCAGAAATGGGGAGGGGTGGCCAGCAGCGGGTTTGTGGCCATCCTCATCAGGGAGTGAGGAGAGACGAGGTGCTTCTCCTCAGTTCTGCTTCTGAGGTGGTAATCGCACATAATGCTTACTCGAGCTCTTCATGCTACGCATGGGTTTCGAGGTATTGTCGTATTGAGTTACCACTTAGCGTAAAAAGCAACACAAGTTTTAGACAACCATTAGCATAATGCTAGTCACAACCGTTTCCAACATTTTCCCAGCCCTGAAAAGCCTTATTTAAGTTAAATCTGTCCGGCATTGGTTTGCCCCGTCATCTAAACGTGTTTGTCCGCTTCATTCGTGCCCTAGCCAGTGGTAAATAATTATTGAACTGGTTCCTTCGGCGTACTTCTTGAAGTTCAATTCCTAAATAAAGTTCAATTTCATTTTGCGAAATTTATTATTTACAGTCACCATCGTTTATTCTTCCAAACATGTTCCACGTAGGACAACAATGAGAATAGGTTGCATGCGCACTGAAACGTTACAATGTTACGATATAAACCGTTTCAAACGATCGTATAGATACAATATCGCCTCGTCGTTGTAATTTGCGAAACACTGCATAACTTAGACTTGTGAAATAAAACATCAAAACTCACATAATTGTTCTTATCAACAACCTAAGAATACAAAAAAAAAAAACACATGGTATACGCCTGCTAAAACCAGCATTTTCAGCATGATGCAAATACCCCTAACCACCGCCTACCTGCTGCACACGAAAATTCCTTTGACATGCGCCTGGCTGCCAAAAAAAGTCGCGCGATTTCTCAGAAATCCTTCCAAAATACTATATCAGGTCATGTTTGATGCCGTAACATGTCATTTCAGTGTGAAATATGTAGCAAATGACCTTATACAACTTAACGAATCTCTGCTTCGGCGGCAAGGATATTATCTGACACAAAGTTGATACAATATTAGCCGTTAATTGACATGTGTCGCACTTAAATACACGATGAAAATGTATACCTTATTACCGTTAGACGAAACGAGGCCTGTTAGGCAGGTAGCTAATATGCAGAGGCAGCGGACCTGCCGCTTTGCATAGAACGAAGTCAAGCAGCCGACAAGCAGAATGGAGGATGACAGGCAGCAATGCGAAGCAAACACTTGCACAGAACCCTCACAAACCGACAATATCTCATCATGTGGATCAGGTAAAGCATCAATAATCTCAAAATACTAAAGAGAAGAAGCAATAAGCGAAGTTGTAGTTGATGGGTTCGTAGATGATAAGTTCGAAGGCAGTGGTCACTGGTCGACCAATGAAGGCGTCAGTCTCCCGCTGACGCCGTAAACAAATATTCATCAGAAACAGCATCATCCAACGAGCTTACATCACATTACACACACCTCAAAACATTCACCAGTAGCGAAAGAACATGTTCGACCCTGTACTTCTCACAAAAACACAGCACAAGTCGAATGACACTCTCCTACATTGCAAACAAAGTCTTCAAAGACTCGTCCAATTCACCACTCACTTCCACATTAATGTATGCTTCATCGCCTCTCATACCCAAAACACAATGTATCTTCACACACTTCTCACAAGTCACAATCACCCTCCTTCCGCTAACGCCTCTTCTCTAGACCCCACTGCTGTCTCGGCGGCGGCAGCGCGGTCGGGCACCACTCGGGTGCGCTGACGGAGGCTCCTCGTCGCCTCCGATGCTGTCCAGGGTGTCCTGTGAGCCAAAGTCGGACTCGGCGCGTCGCGAGAAGCTCTCAGAGCCGACCGTGTCGTAGCCGGAGACGGGCGTCGGGTCGGTGGGGTCGCGGTCCGACGCGGCCGCCGGTGCGCGTGATGCGTGGATGTGGCCGCCTGAGATAAACTCGGAGAACTGTGGGAGGGAGGGGGTATGAGTGAGTGAGTGAGGGTGAGAGAGTGAGGTGTGCCGTTTGATGGAAAACGAGAAATATTGTTACGTTCGAATTGGATGAAGACGAGCAACATTATTCATTACAGCAAATTACGATTGCTGGTCGATTTTATGCTCGACCAGAGATGTAAATGCATCCAACCCGAAGCAAACTTGGTGCATTTTCAATAATTGAAAGATACCTCATAAATAATAATCGCACCTCACGCATCCTCGTCCTACAAAGTCCTAGCAGTTCCAACTTCTACCGGGATTTGCCGATCCCCTCCAACTCACCCGCTGTAGCGGCAGGCATCCGACCAGCTGTCGACGGTCCATGACGTACATCTTGTTGGCGCACAGCATGGCGAACATACGGTGCACCTGCACTATGGGCGTCTCCACTGACACCGACAACGGGAACGGTTCCACCTCGATGACCTCGTCCAGACACACCACCCTGTTCAGCTGCTGGCGGCGCCACGCTCGCTGCAGGCGACGCTCCTCTTCAATACGGTCCTTGGTCTGTCGGGGGAAAGCAGGGAAAGCATAGGCTTAATTTATGTTTTTTAGAGTGCTTAAAAGGATAGGTATAGGTAAAGTAAGACGGATGTCCGCTAAATTGAATTAGTGTTAATAAGTTTCAAGTTCAAGATATTTGCTTCGCAGCATCACGCATCTCTGCCAGCTGAATGTGCCATCAAAAGTGACCTTTTTTTTATCAACGATGTCATAAGCCTAATATTTACAATTTTTCAAGGCAACGTAGTTAGTTGATACCGACAACACCAGAAAGACTTCAGCCAGCCAGGACGCCGTGTCCACAGCTGACCCGTTCCTAGTTTGTTTCAATTTTAGCGGCGATTTAGCCTTTTGTTTCGATTTATTTTTTAGTGCAGTTGTTCACTCCTAAATATTCAAAAAGAACCAAAGGTGGTTAAGTTTTCAGCATGCAATAAGCCTGAAAAGATAAACGCATGCGTGACAAGCAAATGCATTGACGTAATTCTGTCTTTGTAATCTCTCACTGAGTTGCGTGCTTTGCGACTTGCATCATGCAGTCGCGTGCCATTTTCCTCATCTTGTCTGTAACTAAACGTCTACTTGACGTCCACGAAAGAGCTCATGCAATGGGTGCGGCGTGCAGAAGAGAAGGAAAATTTTCCACCGAGAAGAGGCAGGAAAGGTCGGGCAAACCTTTCTCGGATGGCGCCGCCGCTTCGTGGCACCGGGGTTGTCGGTATCGTGGCTTATTGAACCGTGTCGTCTTCCCTGTATGGAAACCAAACGGTAACACTGGGTCCCACTGACTCGGGAAAGACGAAACTATCGATAAAATACCCTAAATGGATTATCGAACCGCCCTCGAAACCGTTCTCGAGAATCGAACCGTCCCTGAAGGACAGTGAAACAACGACAGCGAGGCATGAATTTAGTTTATAGGAAATTATTGTTAGTTCTGCACAAACGATATGGAAGCACGATTCTGGAAATAAGTTAAAGGTGGCAGTTCCATTTACTCACCGGAATTTTGAAAGCAGTGAAGATATTGGCAGTCCTGTCGAGAGTTTTCATCATCAGCTGACCCATGTTCAGAGTTCCGTTGTCATCTCCATCCCTGCAAATGAGGAATAACTCGTGTTATTACATAGCCTTACGACTCGCATAACATGAATATTTGCATTCAAATGACACATATAAATATATAGTTTAGATAAGTTCGAAGCATGTAATTGTACCGTGAAAATAACAACAAATACAGTCGAGAATACTGACTTGTTGTTCAGGTCAGACATGCTGAACTGCTTCAGCAGTCTCTTCTTGGTGTTCTGAGAGCGCTCCTCGAGATCGACAGACGCCGCCTTCGCCAGCATGCGCGCCATCCCGTCCTTTAGACGCGAGGCTCGCGAGCTCTGCTCCGTCATAGAGTCGTATACTTCATCAGTGACTGCTCCCAGGTTAGGTCCAGAGCGACTCAGAGGGATCCCAGGGCGGCGCGGGCGCGGGCGGGGGCGGGGGCGGGCGCCGCCCGAGGGAGAGTCTCCTGAGAGCACCGCCGCCGGTTTGGGGCGAGGTGAGTCGCCCGGCGAGTCTCGCCCGCTGGAGGAGTCAGTCAGGCCGTCGTCCAGTGAGTCCATGGAGTCAGCAGCCGCGGCGGTGTTGATTGGTTCGATAGAGGAGCCCTGCCCCGAGTCTTCTTCCTCGCCGACTGTCCAGCCCTTCTGCGGGAGGAGCCAAAGAGATCAGCGGAGTCAGAGAAGGTCATGGAGATAATACAACATATGTTTAACGATTTATGGACAGAGTACACGATAGAATTCCATCACTTAGACAATCAGCTTTCGATGCTAGTGGACAACCATGTTATATTTGCTAATTATAGTAAATTTAGGTACGGTCTTGAGCGTTCTTCGAATAAGTTTATAATAATCTTTCATGACTATCACTTTACCCTTAAACTCCCACTTACCCTATCGGCCTCCACGGTTATTTTAGCCAGTTTCTCCTTATGGCGCTGCTGCACCGCCATTGCCGCCTGTCTCATATCCTCGTCAACTCGCTTGATGCTGAAGCGGGACAGTCTCCTCTCCTGACTCGGCTTTGGACTCGGCGCAGCCGCAGAGTCCGGAGTCGGGGTCGGAGTCGCAGAGGCGGTCGGAGTCGACGTGGCAGCCGGAGCCGAGTCTGAGTCCGGATTGCAGGATACCTTGGTGGGCGTGCTGTTGTTGCCCATGAGGTGGCTGGATGAGGGGGAGTTTTTCAGTGCCGACTTTACCGGCTGCTTTCGTAGACAGACGGGACGCTTGGCTCGCATTGTGCTGCGACGAATCAGGTTCCAGCGCACCTGAGAAGGCAACGAACGAGGTCAGTAGTGGTGACTACTAGTGGGAAAGATTATAACTTGGCGCTACATAGCTAATACATGTAGGTATGCTTTGCCGATGTTCTCCATTCGTGCACACTGCACATTCATCTGGTTTGCATCAGCTCAAAGAGAAAAACAAACGTTTTCTGCCGCCTTACTTATAGCGAAGATAAAAACAAGCATAGGTTGCTGAAAAGACATGTATGTGGGTAATAAACAAACCATACCACAGTCACGCATCTTTTCTACAGGGTGTTTCACAATAAACGTTACTTTTGATAAGCTTTTAAAATGACCTCAAGTATTTGTATGCCCATAAATTCTATATTCATTTTGTTGCAAATTCTTTCGGGTTTTTTATCCTTACAAAAACTATGACGAATCATCAACTGCATTCTTTATGTACGTGCAATGTCCACACCATCAAAACGGGTCAATTCGCTGTTAAGCTTCATGGTCCTTCACAATGAATGTTGCTTTTCAAACGACGATGTTTCAGTGACATGTATTACATATGGCTCATGAGTAGGTATTACCACATGAGACAGCAGAACAGTAGGACTGATGAACATATAACTTTCAGTTCAGCACCCTTCACGGGTTCTCCACTATGCCACCCTTCCGTCTGACTTTTTCAACCAGATTTTCTGGGATCGCCGTCCGGCCAGGAGGCGGGGCTGGTCTCGTGTTTCCAGTCTTCTGGAACCTTTCTATCACCCGTTTGAAAGACATTTTTTGACGGAATATCCTTCCTGCTATTTTAAAATGGCTACCGAAACTCCGTCGCACTGCGGTCAGACTTCGCAAAGCGCCGTAATGCATGAACACCCATACCGCCTCATCATCTGTACACGGCGAATTGACCCGTTTTGACGGTGTTGGCATTGCACGTCCATACAGATGGAACCGTTGACGGCTTGTAAAAAAATATAAGGACTAAAGACCGCAACAAATTTGCAACAAAATGCATATAAAATTTACGCGCTTACGAACAAGTAAGATCTTCATTTAATTTTAAGCTTTTCAAAAGTAACGTTTATTGTGAAACACCCTGTACCTTGAGCTGATCGTTGTCCTGGACTGTGCAGTAGGCATCGACTCGAACTCCGTCCTTCTGGCCGTTGGGGTTGGACGACGTGGCCTCGTCTGACTCGCCGGCGGCTCCTTCGTCCTCCGACTCGGGCTCCGGAGGCACCTCCAGGTCCAGGTTATCCACCGCTGGAGTGTCGCGGACCGTCTGCCAGTCCAGAGTCCTAGCGAGCGAGAAATAAGGCGTGGACGTTGGTTATTCGTCGTATAAAGACATTGGAGTTCATTCTTCCCGTAAGTCTCCCTCTGAACAAATATATTTCCTTAGACTAAAACTGATCGCTCTTTCTAGATTTAAAGCTAAAATGAAGTTTTATTTACGTTAAGTCTTAGGCTCCATGATAGGCAAAAAGGAATGAAAATGTTTTTTTTTTTTGTTCGCTCATTACAATAGGGAGATGTTGTGATGTGTTGTGAATAGAGATGTTGTGCATATTCTAATATCAAATGAGCCTTACTTGAACGCATTCATGGTGAGGTAGAACTTGGGTCTCTCCCGCTGCCAGGCGGCCTGACCGAGCTCTTCACGGAGGAAGCGGCGCACGCGGCGGACGTGCACCAAACCCAGCGGCTCCATGCTGGCTGTGGGGCGGAGAAAAGGGTTAGCTAAACTTAACGCACATGGAGAGTTACATGACGCATTAGGTAAATCAGTGCATATGTTTTGCTTTGCAGAAAATAATTGCGGCGTTACGTTTTATGCATTACATGCATATAAAGAAATCCATCGCAACACCCTACCTTTCGAGTCGACGAGCGGCAGAACCTTGGACGGAGTTTTGACGCTGTCATGAACCAGCTTCCTCAAGCTGTTGAGCGTCATGTAGTTGCTCAGCACCGGGAAATCGGTGGTCATGATGTCCTGGGCCGTCACATTAGCGTATCCTGTCGATAAAGAAGATAAAGATAATCATGACACCATAAACATGCGGCTGCTGTTCAAATGCATTGCAGAGAGAAGACGGAGTACAGACGCATGTTAAAACGGATGCAATGTGTTGTTCGAATTGCGTCCAATATACCGAATGGACAACTATGTAGAGTATGTATGCAAACACAAATTTGGACTACATCTAGACTTAACAAGCTACCAGAATATGTTAACACATGTGAAGCTTCGTATCGCATGCTCTACCTCCAACCTTTCTATAAAATCTATCCATTCTCACCTCCGGGAATGTTGGAGAGCCGCATCTTGGGCAGCACCGTGATCTTCTTCACCTTGATGAGACTGTCGTACATGGACGGCTGCAGGTGGCGGGAGAGGGCGTTCGAGACCAGAACTGACGTCAGGATCGGCAGCACGTACGTGATCTGACCGGTCAGCTCGAAGACGATGACGGAAATGGAGATGGCATGTGTGACAGAGGCGCAGAGAGCCGCTCCGCACATACAGGCGAACGCACCTGGGGGAGAGGGTAGAGGTCAGAGAGGGAGCTCTCAGCTCGGCCCATCTGGTGGTGGGGGGTGGTGAGACTGGTGCCATCTGGTGGATGAGACGGGAACTAGGCCTGACTAGGCCTGTGTGACTGTAGACTGGGCGTATGTAAATTGACAATTGCTATGCACAATTGGTGTGGCGATTCATAGTTGATGATTGCCGAGCTGTACGCTTCGCTGAAAGGATCACTGCATTCGACAGAGAGCTCATTATCAAGGAAGCAATTAGGTCCACACTTCGCTTTGCCTAAAAATCGGACAAGTTTCCTTTAGTGCTCTTAAACGATTTCCTTCAAGGTGTTTCGACGAATAACGGCATCACACAGCGATTCTTATTAAGGACAATGGTCGGAAATAACTTCAGACTTGTTATACTCTAAGACACTCGCGACGAGGACAATCAACAATACCTTCCGAAAACGGTCATGTGCTCCAGAACGTTCAAGCCACTCACTGGGTATCGCCAGGTTGGGCAGACAGACGACCAGGCGATACGAGCAGTAGAACTCTCCCAGCAGTCGACCGATGGCCACTCCCACCTTGAAGATGGGGATCAGCGCTCCCGATGGCAGGGTCAGAGTCGTGCAGACTAGCGTGCCGAAAAACTAAGCAAAACAAAACGACGGGACGAAGGAAAGTCAAACAAAAATGCAACAAAAAGGTAGGATAAGACCAAATAAATGAGAACCCTCGTCAGCGTGCATGCATAACTAGCAAATGAAACATGACAAAACATTTAATAATTAGAGAGTAACACCGTGCGCGAAGTGCAACAAATGAAGCGAGGTCAAACTTCGGCTGGAAAATCCAGAGGGTTATAAAAATAACACAAAAGAAAAATACCTCACTTCAGAGTTCAGCAAACCATGCAACACTAGAAGCAACAACCAAAACAGCGAGCAAACAATTGATAGCAACACTGAAAAGTAACGGGGCAGCAAAAACAACAGCGGCTCTTCCGCGAAAGCAAAACAATCACTCTCAAACTACAAAACCGCAAGCAGGGAACATGAAACCTGTCCAGAGCAGAACCATCCCATTCTCCCACTCACGTAGTAGGCGATGTACATGACGAGAACGGTCTGGTAGCTGAAGCTGGCGCTGCCCGTCCAGCGTCCTATGATCCCAATCAGACGCGGAGAGAGCGCTTCAGGAGGCCGCGGCGTCGTTGTCGTGGTCATGTTGAAGTCGAGTAGTGCGGTGCAGTTCTCGAATCCAATACCCGGCGGGCAGAAGACGCCCTCGTCTCGCTTCTCATAGCGGTCCTCCCAGGAGATGTTGGCCATCAGGTCGGTCAGCTGTGGAGGAAACCCGGTGAGGTCAGAGGAAGAACGGACGGGGTCAACCACACATGATTTCACTGGCGATGTGTAGTGAGTGGCACGAGTTGCAGTATGGTGGAAATCGTGGCATCGCTGCTGGTCAGAGCGACACGCGAAGGTCAGACTCTGCATGGCGTGGTCCTTTCACCGGTCTAAGGTCCAGGGAGTGCCTTGTGCCACGGATGGGTAGCGGCGTGCTGCCACACCCGCCTGGCACACGATGTCACGGGAGGAAAATCAGACGGACAGCGACGATACGTGGCGCTGATTTGGACCTACATGGCGTGTGACACGTGAAAAAGGCCGGCTTGGTTGAAACAGCGGGCATTGTTTACTGCAGTGTCCCTGAAAAGAATGCCTGTGTCGTTGACAGTGCGCACAGTGTGTGACTCATTTATGACTCAGCGGGTAACGTAACGCCAAAAACCATCAGTTATGAGGTTACTAGATCGCTTGGGTGCACCTAAATAGGTGAAAGTGCATGCCAGCCTCTTATATCAGCAGATATCTAAAGCATCTTTTCATACGGAAATCTAGAACACGTCAACATTTCCAATAACTTTTAAATCAATCAGTTCCTTGCCGATGTCTAACGGGTTGTTCCGATCGGTAGGCTAAATGTGACAGATATTCATCGCATTATGGCCAGCAAAAATGTTTAGGAACACCTGGGGATTTAGCACGATGCCTTTCACTATTCATTGTACCGTTAATCATAGCTAAACGTCGCATATGGCACAACACGCTTTAAAGTTCTAAACCTTGGATTAGTCCCGCAAAACACGATAAACCTAATACCAAACGATAACATTTTACAACGAAATACCACCAAACTACGAAATCCTCGTCCATTCACCTTGTGTGACCAGCGACCTCTTAATTTCTTTCCTTGCCTGATGACTTCTACTCTACCCCTGTGTGGACACTGACCTGTTGACGGGTCGAGATGTGTGACATGACCGGCGAGTAACCATCGCCCCAGGGCAGCATCAGGCCAGATACCACCACACAGACTAGGACCGTGTACAGGAACCGGAACATGGTCACACGGTGGGTCTTCAACCTGAGAGAGAATAGATACGTGGTATTGAGGGGAAATGTAACGAAGGAAGGTAGCAAGTTAGACTCCGCATGCTGCAAAAATTGAACAGCAGCAAAACATTTTTATTTTCGAGCAGCGAGAGAATACAACGACTTTTGAAAACACACACCGGTGGTCCGCGTTCAGCATACAGCTGAATATCAGAACGAAACGTAAGCCACATTACTGAAAGTTATTCTTCTATTTATTTGACGCGGTACCTGACGCACATCCAACTATACCAAATAGTTATTATCGGCATGCCATGTGCCGGCCTTCTCATAACCAAACCCGCAATACTCTTACCCTAGGCAGCAGCCACCCTGTCCGGCACTTTTCGGGTCATCGGCGCTGGACGCGGACGGTGTCCGACACAGGCACTCTGTGGAGAGTCCTTCCAGTTTCTTCAGTCCCTTCAGCAGCTGGCGGTGGATCCAGACGAACGTCGGGCCCACCACGCCGCACAGCAGGCTGGTGGTATGACGAAAGAAGTTAGGAAGGTGATTAGAGAGACCTGAAACTATTTTGAAACTAATTATCACGGATATAATATTACATTCATAACCATCTTTGCATAAGTTATCATCAGCAGGTATGATGTTGAAACAATCAATAAGTTCAGCACTAAAAACTGTCAGAATAGTTAGGACAGTGGGCGATGGCATTTGTCTTTCGTTGTTGTTGTTTTTTTTACAAGCTAGGACTGGCGGCATCATTTTCTTTTATGATAAAGTGAAAAGCTTAAAAGAACTCGTCCATCCTTTTTCATCCATTATACGGATTCCTCACATACTTTGAACGCTTTTGAAGCTGATATAAGCTGCGGCGTATGACGGAAGTACAACAACGTACGACGAAACAAAGGATTACCGATCAGCGAGTACCGTGAACGACACGCATAGCCAGCCGGTTAGACCGACAGGACTCGGTCGCATCCCCAAGGTCATTGTCCGTCCGACAAGGCAAGGTCGCAACGCACTGCTGCAGGCGTCATGCCGCAACTAACCATGATTGCTACAGCTTTCTTTGACGTCTGTCACGTCATCATGCTGATCAAAACGTCATGAACAACGCAAGTCACTGGCGCGTGGCCTCTCTTTTCATGTGTGCGATGTGTAAAACGGGTCAAGAGACACGCAAGAATGCCTATAGGGATTCCAGGAAGGATGGTGCGTCGTTTAAAGTTTTCCTTGTATAGTGACGACACGTCACAAAGGAGACCATTCTTACCCAATGGCGACACTGATTGCGAGAAACTCGAAGTTGAAGGGCAGAGGCTGGGTGTATGACTCCTGGTACATCGGCAAAATGTCTGAAAATAAGACAGAGAGAAGTGTTATTGCGGCTGAGATGAAATCCACAACCGTAAAGCCTAACGATGCTGTCTCACTTTTTTTCATTTTGCCACATGTCACCGGCTAAACGTAACGGTTCAAAGATCATCCACTGCTGCTCCTAGATGGGAAAGCACAAAGTTGCATGGCAATTGACATGAAAAAGTCGAGGATGTTAGCTTTATACTAATGGCCGATTTTACAATAGGCAGCTACGCTACCTCGCTCGATATTTTTAACAAATTGTACCGTCAAAATATGTCTTCAACGATAAGTGGTGCAAGCATTAACATTACATATTGTGCAAATTATATTCAATAATTTTAAAGTGTTCCTGCCTGTACAGTTGGAAGGGAAAATCTGGAACAATTGAACACAACTGCTGAATCTGACCGGTAATTTTTAACGACCTCAAATCTGGACCCGACACAAATGACTTGAGCCCCCAGCGTGCATGCCCGAATAAGGTTTGCCCATGGCACATCACTTTCCTGTTGTCGCCTACCACTGGCACTCATGCATAGCTTTGGACCGATTTCCTCGAGCCATGGAGGAAAATCGGCCACCTTTCCGACCGTCAATACGAATACGATGTTTCTAGATCAGTTCACAATGATAAAAGCTATCATCTTATGTTGAATATATTATAGGTATAGGTACTATTGGCACTTGATTACCATAAAATTCATAAAATAGAAAGTAATAACGTCTTATCTAATATCTTACCAGTGCCGTGGTACATTTGCGAGAGGTATTTGTAGAAGAGGGTTCCGCACACCGCTGCGAAGAAGCCCCTCCAGTAGTTTCTCACGGCGAAGTAGGATCGAGTCGCCTCAATGCTGAAGAGCACGCCTGCCAACAAACACGGAAGTTGTAGAATAAAAGCAGTGGTGGATGGCGTATAATGAAAGGTCAGCAAGTCGTAAGGCTTGGACGTCAAAGGAGAACATTTCGTAATGAGCCGGACAGAATTGACGAGGAAATGATGCCGGGAACAAGGTCAGCTCGACTTGTTGCTTGCAGCATCAGTGAGTTTGTTTAGCAATCCAAAGGGGCAATAAGTCAACAAAGTTTATTGCTAAATTAGCAATAAGCTTCGTTGACTTATTGCCCCTTTGCATGAGGATTGAGGGATGAAGTGAAGGATTACCACTGGTAGGTAGTAAACTACTTTACTTCACAGCATGCACTGCGGCAGGGCGCCTACAATACATGCTGCCTAATGGTGGTTTATTGCGCAGCAGCGTTATTTTTATGGCCGTTTTTTGTGTCATTAATTTAACGTTTGAAGGACATAAGTTACATGGACTTATCAGCAAAACAATATGCCATGCGACCTCGAGCACCGGCAGCATGCACATTACATAGCTTTTAACCCACGAGCCGCTGGGGGGGGGGCATAAAGTTGCCCCCCCTTTACGTTTTGTGAAATATCTCCGAAACCTGATGAGCTACGAACGTGAAACTTGGCATAGCTTCAAATGAATACCTAGGCAATGTTAGAGGAAAGTTTGGTGGTTGTAGCACCTAAGATGACGTCACAGTGACGTCATAAATTTTTGTCGTTTTCCGATATGGACCGTTTCTGATGACGCTGAGCATGAAACTCGACTGTAAATGAACTAGACAGCACCTGCTGTCATCCTAAAACATCTTACTACACTTCCATCTAGTTTCTGACCAATAATCGGCCATTTATATTCGGTCCCATATATGTGATGTATCGTGAGGAATATGAGAGTCGCAAATCTATAATTTCACTTATGACGTCACTGTGACGTCATTTCAAATGGGATCGACACCAAATGTGGACACAACCTCGGCTAGGTATTCAGGAAGATGTGTGCAAAGTTTCGTTTCTCTATCTCTTCGCGTTGCGACGATATCGTCGCAGAAGTAAAGGGGGGCAACTTTATGCCCCCCCCCCCCAGCGGCCGGCGGGTGGCGCGGAGGCCCAGCGGCCGCCGGGTTAAAGATTACCTAAATCCGTCGAGGTAACAAGTGGTGAATCCCAGAGTTGACAACCAATGGAACTGTTGAATGCGATGTATGCTTTATATGGACGGTAAGTGGTTTATAATAAAGAATACTGCAGCGAATATGGGATATTGCTGCTACAGTTTACGTTAGCAATACATCGCTTGAACTTGAACATACCTCGATTGAAAACTTTGTGAATAATGGTGATAGTAACAGGTGTATTCTGCTTGCTAAGCAGCGATCAATTTATTATTGACCGATTAGCGCATGTAAATTTTGCCAAAAGGTGACGCATATAATAATTAAATCAAATAAAACAGCTTAGAAAACACTATCTCAACATGCGACTGCAAGTTTAAAGGGACCCTCCCACCTTAACATTAGTTTTGAGTTGAGATAGCCAAATTGGTGGCCATGGCCTGAAAATATCGGTTTGGGCATTCACAACATCGAAAAATGCTTTAATTCGGAGATATGGAATTTCAAACTTGCAGTTTTCGGATTCTAAGGGGCTAATGCATTGGTATGCCCCCTTAGAATTTGTGACGTCAGCGGAGATCTAACGATTTTTAAATCTTTTACTAAAACATTTGGCAGCACGCGGTGGTATATGCTGCTTTGCGCGCAACAAATGCCGCACTTTCAAATAAAGTCGCTAGGAACAGCGGAGATCCCAAAAAGTAAACAAAAGTAAAAGTCTAATATCTTGAAAACCGGTGAATATTTTTCGATGAAATTTGGTAGATATTCATTTTTGCTCTTTCTGAACCGAGCGACATCACTTTCATGCCAATTCATTAACTTTTCTGAAGGTGGGAGGGTCCCTTTAAGAACCACTTTTTTCGGTGAACTACCCCCGATAGAGGTTGAAGCAGAATTCAGATCATGAGAGCCCCTGTGGTTGGTGACCTACCTCCGACGGGTGCTCCGTAGCAGACGGCAGCACCCATAGTACAGGCCGCCGCCACCAGTTCGTTGCCAGAGTGACGCTCCAGCTCCTCCGCCGAAATATCTTTGAAGATTTTAGTGATGAACAGGGCGAAAATGGCCGCTACGTGCGTTACCGGACCCTGGAACACGATATAGATTGCTACATACGATAATCGCTGAGAGGAGAGGATTTCTGTTTTAGTTAAACATTTTTTCAATAATGAGTTTGAGTTTTGATAAATAACAGAAAGTCGATATAAAGCAACGTTATTGTATTGAGATAGTGCAGACACTTGCGATGTAATGCTTTCCGAACGCTCTCAGAAAGCCACAAAGCGACATAATGACAGCAAATAACCCACCTCCTTTCCAAGTGGCAGTTCGGTGCATAGTGTGATCGGCAAGAAGATAATCTTTCCAATACACGTGATCGGCGAAAACGTGTTCTTCATCTTCACGCCCTGGAGGTAGGCCTTCATCTCGGGAAAACCGGATCCTGAAACGACCACATCAAATTGTCATCAAATGCCTCTTGCACCAAAATACCTAGCTAGGTAGAATCGGCAAAATACCTACCTAGTAAAACTACCTACGGCGGTAACTTCTCTTGCACCATCCTACCTACCTACCTAGGTAAATTTGACAGCTCGCGTTTTTAGGATTTGTTTTGATTGGCTGTTTGGCGACGATTTATTTGTGGGCGCAAACAAATAGTAACTAAAGAAAACAATTAAATGGATATTGTTTTTATTAATATACATTTTGGCATTATGAAATCATCTTTCATTTACGTAAATACCGATAGAAGTGAGTTTGCTATTAAATTACTTGAACAAATAAGCTTCGTTTCCATGGCAACGAGTGAGTCTTCAACCTGGCTGTTCTGCTACGGAGGTTTATCGCCTTGGTACGGAGAAGCACCTCTGTGAACCCATGTAGCATTTAGTCAATTATATTATTATTCACTCATAAAACATTGATTTATCATTGTCTAAACATTTTGTTATGCCTAATTTACATAAAAGTACCCGTGGATTATCATGTATTGTGCCTATTGTTACTAATTGAATCATTTTACCTAAGGTTTTGCTAGTTATTTTGGAAGCCCGCGTTTACCGTCAAACCGTCAAAAATTCCTCCGCGAGTACTTCTTTCCGGCTTTCGGTGCAAGAGGAAAACAGCCGGTCGGACTTTAACAATTGGTAAGTTCTTATGCCGCTCGGTAGAATTTCTAGGTAAATTTTCACGGTAGCGTTTTTTGGTAGGTAGTTTGGTGCAAGAGAATCTAGGTAAAATCTGAATTTACCTAGGTAGGTAGTTTGGTGCAAGAGGCCTCAGGTCATGGAACTTCCGAAAGGCTTCCTCTTTGGGTACTAGCTTTGTTGGTTTTGCGTGTTCCGCCCAATTAAACACCTATCTTAGTTGTTTCCTAATCCCCCAGGAAGAGCTAAACAAGTTTTGGGTCATTATGTTAAGATCAAGGTCGAAGTGAAGGACTTCGGAGATGACTAGAACACAACAGGTGGCGTCACCACAACAATTAAAGCTGACCAATCAGCTACGCCACTCACCGCATGAGGCAATAAAACCGTCTAATAAAAAGGCTAAATCACTTTAATTACACGAGTAAAAACCGACAGAAGGCAGGACCTGTCCCGTGTCCGGCATACATGACGGTGACTTTGTAGAAATTATCTGGGTCAGACGATTGAACGCAGAATGCAGTGTGGTAAGTGGTTAGGACTGATCATGTTTTGTTGAACTATGCAGTTCATTTACTTAAGTCCCATGGCTGTGTGGCGTGGGTCACATTGAGCTGCCCAACCAAACCAACCGACATATACAATTTATCACTTAAAGGTAGTGTGCCAGCTTTCCTGGACCGTATGGAGTTAATGGCCCAGATAAGGAGAACCGGATTTTTAGAACTTATCCATACCTTCAAAACTCATGGAAACGTCTTAAATTCTTCAAATTTTGAGTACCCCAGTGCGAAATTCGCCCCGACGGGTTGTCGGTCGTACCCCAACCACATTTCACACCACTATGAACAATAAATGCACACACTGAAATCGCTATTACCGATATGCTTATCCAATCAAGTTTCGATAAACCCGTTCATCATCAGCTCCTGCGGTTTCGAACACGCCTGTTAGGTGGTGCGGTAGACCACGCCCAAAGCCAGGGCCCCGGTAACGTGAGGTAGCCGAGTCAGGGCAGCGTGCGCTGACCCAAGCCGGAGCCGCGCGTCCTCCCGGTGTCATGTGATAGCCCGGGGCTGCCCGCGGGGATGCGGTAGACCGCGCCCAAAGCTGCGGCCCCGGCTTGGGTCAGCGCACGCTGCCCCGACTCGGCTACCTCACGTTACCGGGGCCCTGGCTTTGGGCGCGGCTTCTGCTCATACTTTGTGGTGCGGTGGTGGTGCGTCGGGCTGCGCGCTCTGACTTCGGCCAAGAAAAATGCGTCAGCTGATCATTGTCATTTCTGCCACTTGCGTGTGGTGAAATGGGGTCATAACTTATGAGACGGCTTTTTCATATCAATTATTTTACATAAAATCATATTTCAAACCATAAATAATGTTCGACAGCCAAATAAAAGAAACAATACCAATACGGGCTTACAGTTTAAGGCTCGACATTGTGTTGTCTACGATTAGACAGCTGATAACTCATTCCCGTACGTCGTATGGTCGTAACACTATAATGACCTTTGCTTATTGTCACAAGTGCGCCGCATTCGCGATTGTTGCCCGACGCCTGTTTGCAGGTGAGCCCACTACAGTTGTTATACATATCTAAAAACCGATAAACTTTTAGGCGAAAAAGGCACTATTCCAGGCCCATTTTTGATTTTTTTTTTGCGATATTAGGTAAAAACAGAAGCTTCTTATCCTAGGAAAAATAAAATGGGAAATCTTTCAAAGGTGGCTCACTACCTTTAAAGCCACGATTGATTTTACCCCTAACCGCATACAAGTGGCTGGTGAGTTGTTACGACATCCATTCACCACCGTATAACCACGCCCTCGCCGTTCCAAATACCACCGGATAGCCTCCGGACTGATCTGGCCGCTAACCAGAACAGTGGCGCCGCGCAGCTGGCACGCGCTGGCTGACCACAGCCCGGTGCGTCGGCCCTCAGAGGTAGAACAGACACGAACAGAGGCCGCTGACTTACATCATTCACCGGGCCACAGAGGAGATACAGTCACACTGGGGCAACAGCGGCCACTAAAGGCGCCTTGACATCACCACATACCGCCATGTGTACTGCGGTGCGGCGGCGATGATAAACGAATAAAGAGCCTTGTTTACAGCTTGGTTGTTATGGAGAGGCGCTCTGTGATTTATAAAGCTCAGGTTACACCATGCAAATATTACAAGGACTTTTTCTAAACATGCACCGTCCTACGGTTGATCCTATGTTTGAACATTATTGATCATGCAGCAACTGGTTTTGGTCATGGCTTCTTTATACTCCTTACGTGCGGCACCACCTGGCTATGCGACAAGACCCTGTTAAGTGTCCACTTGTCAAACACGTTTTACCGTGATCTCATAATCCTACGCAATTATACATAAGATCTGTTTATGCATTTGAGAAGCTGCTCAATTACCTTATTTGTCCAACCGCTTCGCAGCTTCATTTGCTATAAAAACATAACTGTTTCTGACGCTGACCATAATAATAAGCTATCATTGCGATGAAAGTGCGGTATAATGTTGTGCTGACCGTTTCATGACAAAGCCAGGCCTGTATAAATAAGCTGGAGTTCACCGGCAGAAAACTATTGCGTTGCATGTAAATGGAATATACAAAGTAAGGAAATAGAAGTTCTTTGTTGCCAATTGTGAAAAGTTTGCAGTTTGCAAAGCTGAGCGCTTTAGGGCTTTGGATTGTTCATAAACCACAAAGGCAAAGTCCAAAACTTCGACACTCACAAGCGACAAGCAAGTCACATCAACTCATCGCTAAAAGACAGCTGCTCAGTACTCGCTGCACTCGTATCAGCAATATCAACGGTGCAGCATCCGACAGTTATTCGCCAAATTGCCGATTCATCGCCTCTGCGGTGCGATACGGCTCGGTGGGATTCTGTGCACTCTGACAGACCGTGACATGTCTGTCCCAGGCGGTGCAACAGACGGTGAGATCGGGACATCTGTCAACCACAGACTCCGCGGACTCAGAGACCCAGAAAGAGCCAGCCGGGGGCGTTGAACTGATGACGAGATGTGTGACCTGACTGTCCGTCCAAATTGTCTCATGGGGTGGTGTGGTGGACTAAATCGTAAATGGGGCAAACACAACACACGTCAGTGTACGAATTAGGGTAGGAGTGAGTCAGTCTGTCCTGTAAAGAGGACAGTGACAGGATCAAATTATAAACAGACGTCGCCCAGCGGTCTGCCATGGCAGGAAGGAGGACACAGGACATTTGTATGTAAACAAATGTCGCAAAGTCATGAGTTTACAATGAAGCACACAGAAAACAAACCATGACAGGTTTATAACTTACCCGCCATTAAAGTGTCGGGCCCGGAAGTTGAAAACACATCATTATTTATGCCAAAACATAACTAATGCTTTAGTTCAATCAAAGTAATCAGCACTTATAGTCACGCTATTAGGAGCCGTTCGCTCACACTCAAAACTTCCTCGATCGCACCGAGCTATCGATTCTCCACATCCCCAAATCGCCTATTCGTGCACACTGCACACTCCCCGTCTTCCGAAGTCCCACATCTCCAATCACTAACCTGTGGCGCTGGGTATGAACCAGGCGATGAAGAGGGCGGCGGCGATGGCGATTCCTGAGGTGAGCGTGTACCAGACGACCATCCGACTCGCCAGGTCACCCGCCGCCATGAACGCCTGTAGACGGACTGCGAAACAGAGAAGAATTGCAGTACAGTGATGTTATCCTTTTAAAAACATGAAATACGCGCAGCTCGTGTGAGCAAAATAAGAACTAGGGTAGGATTGGTCAACAAGATCAGGGAAAAATAGTTTTGTTTAAAGGTAGTGTGCCACCTTTGAAAGATTTCCCATTTTATTTTTCCTAGGATAAGAAGCTTCTGTTTTTACCTAATATCGCAAAAAAATCAAAAATGGGCCTGGAATAGTGCCTTTTTCGCCTAAAAGTTTTTCGGTTTTTAGATATGTATAACAACTGTAGTGGGCTCACCTGCAAACAGGCGTCGGGCAACAATCGCGAATGCGGCGCACTTGTGACAATAAGCAAAGGTCATTATAGTGTTACGACCATACGACGTACGGGAATGAGTTATCAGCTGTCTAATCGTAGACAACACAAGAACCCGGTTTACATAGCATATTTGACGAGGCTCTAGCTCGTTAATTTGGCGATGATTTCGTTGCAGTGGTCTTCAAATGTTTAGAGAGGATCATTTTGTAAATTTTTAAGCACCATTGGCATCTTTTGCAACATCACGGACGGAGATATAAGCTTGCAACAAACCCTATGTAAACGCGTCTAATGTCGAGCCTTAAACTGTAAGCCCGTATTGGTATTGTTTCTTTTATTTGGCTGTCGAACATTATTTATGGTTTGAAATATGATTTTATGTAAAATAATTGATATGAAAAAGCCGTCTTATAAGTTATGACCCCATTTCACCACACGCAAGTGGCAGAAATGACAATGATCAGCTGACGCATTTTTCTTGGCCGAAGTCAGAGCGCGCGGCCCGACGCACCACGCGTATTTGGAAATTCCGACCTCGACGAGCATCAGAAGCCACCTAACAGGCGTGTTCGAAACCGCAGGAGATGATGATGAACGGGTTTATCGAAACTTGGTTGGATGAGCATATCGGTAATAGCGATTTCAGTGTGTGCATTTATTGTTCATAGTGGTGTGAAATGTGGTTGGGGTACAACCGACAACCCGTCGGGGCGAATTTCGCACTGGGGTACTCAAAATTTGAAAGAATTTAAGACGTTTCCATGAGTTTTGAAGGTATGGATAAGTTCTAAAAATCCGGTTCTCCTTATCTGGGCCATTAACTCCATACGGTCCAAGAAAGCTGGCACACTACCTTTAAAGCGATTTATGGAACTTAAAATAGCGAGCAAGTTCATGATGCAAAATGGAAAATTACATCACCGCAGCCTCGAAAGCCTTGCAGTTAAAGGGGACTTTGTAATTATTTTATTGTGTTCATTTCCTGACGATATCATAGTTGCTCAGTATTGAATCAATTAATCATTCGAACCTTCCGCTGCGAAACAAACATCATCCAGCAGATTCTAATACAGCTATGCTCATAAGCACAGCAGACCGTATCATTATACTGTCTGGATGCTTCAAGCACCGCGTAGCGCGACCGTCATGCTTTTTATAATCAGGGTAACTGTCTCGCGAGCCGATGGGTTTCCAGCACCTGCCGGATATTCCCAGATAGTCGGGTGCTGGTCGGCCCCACACAGCCGATCCATCCATCGGGGTGGCCTCGACTATTGGCGGAAAGGCCGCACACGGCACGGACGGAGTCGAGGTAAGGATGTCCATTGTCCGTCATCGTCCAACTATCAGACAATCGCTACGACGACTAACACAGAGGAGAGGGCGCGCGCCGTGAGTGTGCCGAGCCGCGGGTAAACCGTGCCGATTTGGCCGAGCCCGTTTGGTAACCGGTCCGAGCCGCCAAAAATCCGGCCCAAATCCGTGCAGCCTTGCTGATGGCTGGCCGGCCGCGGCTCGACAGGACGGTTAGGACGGTGCAGGACGGGACTGATGATTATCCGTGCGTTGCGCTACCATGGGCTGAAGAGAGGATTTATTGGTGGATTAGGCAAAATTCTGAGCTGCGAATGTTGGAGAGTTAGCCGTTGGACAAGTAATGAAACGTCAAAGTATAAGTCAAAGTATCTTTATAGCTGTCACATTTGTTACGCAATAGATGCGACCAGTAATGAATTCATGCTTTTACGAGTAAGAGTGCGTTTTAACCCGGCGGCCGCTGGGCCTCCGCGCCACCCGCCGGCCGCTGGGGGGGGCATAAAGTTGCCCCCCCTTTACTTCTGCGACGATATCGTCGCAACGCGAAGAGATAGAGAAGCGAAACTTTGCACACATCTTCCTAAATACCTAGCCGAGGTTGTGTCCAAATTTGGTGTCGATCCCATTTGAAATGACGTCACAGTGAGGTCATAAGTGAAATTATAGATTTACGACTCTCATATTCCTCACGATACATCACATATATGGGACCGAATATAAAGGGCCGATTATTGGTCAGAAACTAGATGGAAGTGTAGTAAGATGTTTTAGGATGACAGCAGGTGCTGTCCAGTTCATTTACAGTCGAGTTTCATGCTCAGCGTCATCAGAAACGGTCCATGTCGGAAAACGACAAAACTTCATGACGTCACTGTGACGTCATCTTAGGTGCTACAACCACCAAACTTTCCTCAAACATTGCCTAGGTATTCATTTGAAGCTACGCCAAGTTTCGCGTTCGTAGCTCATCAGGTTTCGGAGATATTTCACAAAACGTAAAGGGGGGGGGCAACTTTATGCCCCCCCCCCCAGCGGCTCGTGGGTTAACCATGCCATTGACACATTTCATTGCATTCTAGCGGCTAGCCAGTAGCCATTTAATCAAACTTCGCTGCCATCTATTCACAGCCATTTAGTTATTTTGGAAATCACGACCTTATACGCATCATTGAAACTGCGTTACGTTACGGTAACCGCGCCTTTTGCCATATGGTAGCAAGGTCACTCCAAGGTTTCCCCAGAATAAAGGCCACCTCATCCGAGACACGGGCTCGATAATCTCTGGTTCTCGCGGTGTGATCACTTTGATCTGGGCCTGTCCCGGCACCGTCGCCGCCTGTTCCGCACGCAAGGTCTCGGCCAGCGCGAGGCGAGTCATTAGAAATCCCAGCTGACTACCGTTCCGTGCCGCCTCTGTCTACTAGTGACGTCACTAATCACACACATGACGTCATCGTGAGGAGAGGAGGGTGACCGTGGTGCCCGGAGACGGTCGGGCAGCTGCGCAGACCGGACGTCGCCGACCACCGATCGGTCTGCGGTCGGTACCGGACGCGCCGCCTCCGCCCCCGTCCCCGTCCCGTCACCACACTGCCCCACCGCCATCCGCCTTCGCCGCCGCAGCAGCCACCGCCATCCGCCACCACCACCGCCGCCACCGGCGCCTTCGGGCTCGGTGAGCCACATACTATCAGTGAGTCGGCGACCATCAAAGGTTCGTCGGTCAGTGATTTGGAAGGAGGGTGGTCACTCGAGCCGACTCCACACCCGCAGGGAGGGAGCTGTAATCATTGGGTAGATGTTCGGACAAGAGACCGACCCCGAGGCAGCTTGAACGTCGACGGAGAATACCTTGTCGCAACGCACTGCACGTGAGGACCGGGAGAGAGTGAGCGTCGGCCTGGTTTGACGATGCACCTTTGGCTACTGGAGGAGGAGGGAAAAACTGGTACAAACTGGATAGGAGAGGAACGCAGTTCGCAGATTTTTATGCATGGTTCGGTACTGCGCGGCATATAGAAGCAAACAGAAATGGTGTGAGATGTCAAATAATCTGGATAGTGGTGTGCGAATGCAATTATATAACAAGCGAAAAGACAACCATAGCCAACTGTTCTAATTGTTCGGTCATGCTGAAGACACGTTCCTTTTTACGCTGCTATTCTGAGTACCAGTGGTTTTGGGAACGCCGCTCGGGTGCTTTTCCAGCCAATCGTGCATGTTCAGCTGAGGAATTTCCGTGTATGTAGACCCCAGACTGAACCGGAAAATTTACAGCGCAATATGTCATCAGAACGCTCCTCCGTGACCATTTACGGAAGCAAGCAGCGAGTGGAACGCACAAGTTGACACCATTCAAACATATCTAGCATGTATCTTGTGACAGCATAATAGAAACCTCTTTTCTAGTTCGGGGCTTTGGATGTTCTTATTTAGAAGTAGGTATAAATACAAAGTGTTCTTCAATTGACATTTTACAAAACTCTAATGACCTTACAATTATTTTCCTTGAGCGGGCACACGTGGCAGACGCGTAGATTGAAGCGTGATGGTAATGCTTTGTTATCAAAATAAAAAATGACTTTGACATAAGCAGTAAATCCCGAAATCAAGTTGAACCAAGACCTGCAATCCTTCGATAAACAATCAATCATACACGGGTGATTTTCAACGACATCAGGGATTCACCTCTCTTGATTTCGCAATCCTAAATAGCTGTTTATCACGAACAGTGAAGCGCTGTAAACCGAACGTTTTTCGTCCGGTATAGTGCGTATCCCAAACGTGACTGCGAGCGAACCTCGGGACGAGTGTGTAGGTATGGTGGTGTGAGTTCCTCCTCGTGCGTGACAGCGCCACCGGAGGATCCTCGGCTCGTCTAACAGGTCCAAGTCACGGAGCAACGGAAGGCTGTCATCATACAGCGATTTTCGTACAGTGGTTTGTCTCTATCTCGGCTAGAGCCGCATGGCCGGCCAGAAGTGCATCGCCACCGCCTGTGATGTAGCACCGCCGCAGTTGACTCGATTATGAAATGATCACTGCCGGTACTGAGGAAAGCATACGGCAGTTCCGGCCTGGTGCGGATGGCAACATCGGCAACATTGAAGAGTGGGAGAGAGGGATAGGGAGAGGGAGAGAGAGAGAGAGAGAGAGAGAGAGAGAGAGAGAGAGAGAGAGAGAGAGAGAGAGGGAGAGAGAGAAATGGGAGAAGGATGGATCGGAGATAACGGATGAGGAATGCACTCCGGGCGGCTCCGGCTCGCGCACCAATGTCCGGGTCGCCCAACCGGACGTTACGCAGCATCCCAACTGCTCAGCCCCACAGGCCTCGAGGGCAGCACTTTCTGGGCCACCCGGTACCGCTGGGCCATCGTGCACTCGTGCCAGGCACGGTGAAAGTCGACACGACTTGCGGCTCTGTGGAAGATCGGTCGCAAATCTCGTCCAAAACTCGCCACCAAGACGTCGGCGACGTCGGCAGATGGAACGTCTCTGGCTGAACAAGTCGCGGAACGCGTGGGAAAAGCACAGCGTCTCAGCTACAAACCGGCACCACAGCGTCGGCATTTCTCTGCCCGCACGACCGGCCCGGCCAGAGACCGCCGTACCGGTCACAGAGAGCTGACCGCCAGCTGTGCATGGCTGCTTGTTTGTCCAGCGACTGCGTCACGACTCACGGCGGTGCCAGTCACGACTCACGGTCCGGTCGTGACATCACGGCGCGTCTGTCGTCACGCAGTGTCTGTATAGGTGAGTCAGCCGTGCGGAGGTGCCCACTCGGCCGGCCGGAGCGTGCCAGGCGCCTGGTGACACGGCTGCGGCCGCGGTCTGCAGCCTGAAGTGAGACGTGAGAGAGACTACCCCGGCCGGAGGTGACGGCAAATGTGAACGCTGCAGGGGATTGATGCGGAATGTGCGGCCGTAAAACCGAGAGTCGTTCACTTCCGCATGAGTGACAGGAAGGTGAAAATAGCACAGGGGAAGTGAGAAGATGCGTGATGAAGAAATTCAGGGCATAGTGGCAGATTGAAAGCATATCGAATCGGATAAAGTGACATCTAAAAACGATTCATATTGTCATAATTTGTTTATCACTGCCCGGGAGCTGCCTAAAAGTGGTACCCCTAGGACTCTCTCTTTGATCGTATGTCTCCAAAGTCTATTGAATGAGTGCTCTTTTCTGTTTCGGAATACCACTCAAACTAAATATGACGAATCGCACAATTCTTATAGAATCCTTCACCAAACAAACAAAATTTGGATCTGGAAATCCGCCGAGCGATTGTTAGGTCACAGTCCGCTACAATTGCTTCCGGTGAAGCTCTTATTAACCTAGAATTTCTCCGCAATATCCCTTGGTTACAACCTTGATGATAATCACATTGAAGCCGAACGCAAAATCTCCGCCGGCACTATCAGTTGAGCGGGTTTGTCGCTGGAAGGTACTAGTTACATCACCCCACGATTAACTCCAGGGATCTCTGGCATCGCCTTTGTGTTCACCGCCCTTTGGTAACTCTGAGCACCAGTGACCATGGAAACCGGGGCTCCATGCGCACCGCAGGCGTCTGCTCCGGCTTTATTATTTCTGGAAGGTCAGGCATGGAAAGACGGACAGGCGGGCGAGCCGCAGAGCCGCCCCAGACTCACGGCGAGCCACCCCGGGATCACGGTGAACGGGTTCGTGACTCGTGACTGGCTCGTGACGTAACGTACCGCCGAAAACGCCAATCTCCGGGCCATGACCGTGACGGTGGCTGGGCATGCGTGACGGGCACGAGCCTCAAATTAGAGGTGGTGACGTCTGGTGTTGTTTAGTGACGTCTTCTGACGTCAGGTGACGTTCTATGACGTACTCTGACTATTGCTATTGACTGGTGATGGCTATTGACGTGGAATAATAAATACACTGGGAAGAACAACGGAGAAAAGGCAGCGACTGGTAAAGAATTTAGTTAACAACAATCTCAGTAATCTGGTAACGGAGGACGGTTCACCATTGCACTGGTCCATGACAACCGTCATGGTATAGCAGCATATCATACAAAGGTGCGGGCCGTGCGATGAAATACGGCCAAGGAGCGGCGAAGAGGGCTGAAGTGGACACGTTGCTGAGATGAGATGGGATTGTTACTGCGCCGCTGGGTTTAGACGAGAGATAACGGCACCTCAATGGCAGCAGTCAGAGTCGGCTGCACATCAGAGCAGACCAAAGACGGTAACAACTAACAACGGGGGAGAACTTGTTCGTGATGAAACACTTTCATTTTGGCGAGCTCATGCATGGGGGTATGAGTTTGCGATTTAATTGCAAGTCATAATTTCGTGTCACCTGTGTATTTTCCGAGTCGATATGTTTGTGCTAGCACTCAAAAAGCAACCCTAAAAAGATCTAGCGAAACATTGCAGTGATTTTTCTAGCTCTCAAAATTTCACTTAAGAATTTCAACCAAGTAGCTATAGCGCACACCACCCTTGAAAGAAAATGCCTCTGTACGACATTTGAGACCCCTGCGGAGCCTCAGCCGTCGCCTGTCCTCGCACGGCGGGCCCCTGACTGAACAGGTGAGGTCTCGCAAAATACAGCCGGTCGCACCACTCGCTGCTAAAAAGTCCACGGTCACAGGGACGCCCGGTGCAATTTTTGCAATCAGGCCTGCGTTTTTGTAACGGGAAACAAGCTCCTCGTGCAAGGCACCGCGCCTCACGGCCACCTTATAAGCAAACATCGAGGAAACTTCGGTTGGCTCGCTTTGAACATCCTGTTTAACGAGCCAATAGAGCGTCCCAGGTAGGCCACAGAATAAGCATGGAGCAATGCTTCGAAATCGCGTTCAGATGACTAACAAAATGGAAGGAAGCTAATTTGCATTAGCTTCCGTGAATGCGAGAAACGTTCGGCTCTGTGATTTGAAATCATCATTAGCATACTAACGACAACACTGTTTCAACATGCGTTTCCATGACTTTGCATAGAAGAAACTGATTCTTGAAATTTCTAAAATTATTAACTTGATTGCGCCGAGGCCTTGCCTAAGGGCACGAAATTTTGACTCAGCTCAGCGAAGGCATGAGCAATGAACATAATGTTCTGACTTTCGAAGCACGCTAAATAGGCCTGTGATCCAGATATTTGGATACAAGGTCTCTTATTTTCGCTGTATATTTGCACCGAGCTCTCCAATCTTCACGGCCCAATTATTAGTTACCGTGAAGAATAAAAATGTGTTCTCCTTACGCATTATTTTTGCGATTGTCATTGCTGATACAGACAAACATAGCGTACATCATTACGTTTCATGAACATGTTCAATCTTTAATTCTGATTATATTCAATCAATAGGATGCACAAACATAGCTGTCTGGCGCTAAGAGGCAGGCTTGCTCTTTTGAAGACATTGCAAGTTATGAACGAGCAGCGATACTAGTTCAAATGGTGGGATTTTTCTTTCGGTTTTCACATGGCACAAATCTCAGTGATGTAGAGTACTCACAATTGTGCAGCGCCTGGACGGTGACGTCGATGCCGAAGGAGTAGATTCCCATCAGACTTCCCAGGAGGGAGAGGAAGAGCCAGTCTTCGTACCGTCCTCTCGTCCATTTTCTCACCCAGGCCAGACATGACGAGCCATCTGAAACGAGTTTCTATTAATAAAATGTACGACAGATGACTTAGAATGTCTCATTGTCACACAGGAAAGCATATAGCCATGAACTGTGGAAAGCCCCATGTTCTGCAGTTAGCTGCGGTTTTGTGAAGCAGAGCGTTCATAGAGCTCTGGGATCCCCGAAGCAAAAGTACCGACTTTCTAGCGTGAGCCTAATATGGCAGGGCACAGACTTATCTATATAGAGAAGTCCGTGGGTAAGTCAAAGCCAATTTCCCAAAGAGGTCGCACGACATTGTTGCATTGGACTTTCCAGCATCACTAGGTCATCGAGCGACGTAATGAATATCAGCCCACCATCAACTGCACTCCATATAACGCTATCTGATCCCAATAGGCCGCATGTTTAGGTTTATCCAATATACACATCAATCGACTATTAACTGCGCAAGGGCTATTTGACGGGCGCATTTGACGGGCGCACGGATGACGGACGCACTAGTCAGTTCACTCACGTTCTGTGGCCTTCTCCTTCCAGGGGCTGTTGCCGGTGGTGATGACGTTGAAGCCGAGGTCCTCCTCCAGACAGGTGTCCAGGTCTGGCTCATCGTCTGGACGAGGGTTTCCGCTCGGCTCTGCACCCCTGGCTGACTGCTGTGCCTCCGCCTGGACAGACAAGAAACATATGGTGTAACGTCGGACCATATATCTTCGTTGCGATTTATTGAAGGAATAATTTGATTAATTCTAACGCAAAAACCTTGTGTATTTTTAATGCGGATCCGAGGTAATGACTTTTGCTGCAATTGCATGGAAATGTTCCCATTTATCATTTTATGTATTTCTACAGGGTCTCCATTTTTCGCGCAAAAGTTATCTAATGCAAACGTGTCATGGCGCGTAACCGAGACGCCATGCATAACAGGCAAAACATACTTATCGCACCACTTATCACCTCTATTCAATCTGCACTGGGTATCCCGAATATCTCGATCTCATCGAGATAATAAAATGTCAAGATCTACACAATGCACTTGCCCACGCGCTGGCAATCATTAACCTTCAAAGCCACGAATCAGACGGGCCCGGGTCAACTGACACCACAGTGAGGTTTAATATTCCACAGCACCCCACTCCAGAGTGTGCGGTGTCCTATTTCAGCCCCAGTTTCGGCGTCGGTACTGGCGGGGATAATGTTTCACCCAGCCCCACCACCACCAAATCGGCCCGACCCTCGCCGCACACAGCCCGGCACACGTGTCACAATGCACCGCTGTGTGTCACCGTTCGAACATCCAGCCCGTCTTTTGTCACAGACATGTGTGTGTTTGTGCTTCTCTGCCCCCGGCCCTGACACATGGACAGTGGCGCTCGCATCCTGGTTCTCAGAAGAGCTATGACACATGTGAGCGGTGCCATTGGAGCCCGTGTTGAGAACAATACAAGTGATGTCAGCTGCAGAATACCCCCTGGGGGCGTCACATCCGCCACAGAGACGATAACGGCGCAAGTCCGGCGCACCAAGTTTCATGCAGCAGCTGAGAGTGTCTTCAGAAGTTCTGATAAAGTCCCTAGCGGTGCGAGCTTACGCAACGCTACGTCGAATGGTGGGCGACTGGCGTAGATTTTATGGTTTGATTCATGAAACTTTCGGCGGTTGGCTGCGATAAAACAGTGGAGAAACCAGCGGAACGGACTTGTTGTCCACCAGTGCAGAAGAATCGGGACGGCTAAAAATTGTCACGAGGAGCGATGCGGTGCCGCACGGACAGGAACATGGGCGATTAGAGAGAACTTTAGACGGATCCGGTATTTCCTCGGTTTGGTTCGCGCGACCTGTTATAATCCTGTCAGGCAGCCTCGAGTGTGAAGTTCCCGATCGGACAGTGTGATTTTACATGTACTGGTGCATGTCTTTGCTAATGGCAGACTGTGATATCGTTATGTAGAGCGTGGATGCCGAAAGTAATCAGCCATACGCACAACGATTAATTTTAACATAATCACAAAGAAAATCAAGGAAACATTTTTCTTATGCAGTTTTCGGTTGCAGGTTGAAATGAATTTAACTTTGCTTGAGGTCATGCGTTTTTACATTCCGGATCACCGTTCCGACAGAAATGGACAATAGACGATCTACAAAGGCTCGGCCATTGTTACTTGAACGTTCTGGAAATTGACACCTAGTTAATGGAACCGAGCAGGCAATCGAACCATCCAGGCCATTTGACAAGGATTAATTTGGTTGACCTCAAAATGTGCCAGAAGTCTCTGACACGGTTCAGATGTGTCCACAAAGTTGTGTCGGCAAAACAGTTTAGGTAGGAAGCCCTGATTAATTCAGATTTCAGCGCTCGATAATAATTTCATACCAACCATTATAGCGAGCAGTAAGCGCATCAAAATAGATCTGTCGATGCTTTGCAAGGTCGCTGAGCAGCATGAATAACAGACTTGCAGAGTCTCAGACTGCACGGTGGAAAACAGCCAATAAATCATCATAAAAACTGGTCAGACCAGTGGGAGCCAGTTAAACCGTTTGTGCGCTGTGATTTACAAATAAGTGTGTTTGCACCTTAGACTGCACTGAGAGCTGTTTTGATTCCTTTTAAGCATATTAGGGGAATTGGTCTAAAACAACACCCTGATCATTTCTCCGAATATACCCCAAATACACTTTATTTGAATATCACTCTGAAATTCTTCTAATATACCCTACACTGAGAACCTTTTTGATTCCTTTTGAGCATATTAGGGGTTTTGGTCTAAAACAACACCCTGATCATTTCTTCGAATATACCCAAACTATACCCTTGTTCTTTAAATAGCTCCCTTGAATTCTTCTAATATACCCTAGTAAGTACCGAAGAGGAAAGGAATATGATTCCTGTTCTATTCCCTGCGATACCCACAGTACACTCCTTTTAACCTACCAAAATACCCTTACATCGAAACCTCCAGTATTCCTTCTAAGCGTATAAGGGGAATATTTTGCAAACTATACTCGCATTATACCACGTAACACTCCCGTATTATTCTGTGATTTCCATCACTGATCTCAATGTATTCTTGCATTAGACCCCACATAAACCCAGAAGGGAAAATAATAATGCCCTAGGTATATTCGTCGTAGAACTTGCTCAGAAACTGTCTCATTACTCTCAGCTCCCTCGTCCGATTTCCATTTATATATCGTAACACATCCAAAACGAGGGTTAAGGTTCTATCCCCAGCAGGGCGCGTGTGGCTGAATAGCCCAGCGGGGCGCGGGTTAGTGGTCAGCAACACGTCCAGGGAGCGACTGCCCGTCCTCCTCGCCCGTCCGGCCGGCCAGTCCCGGCCCGCCGACCGGTCACCGCCGGAGGCGCCGAGCGGCACAGGTACGGTATCTGACAGTAGCGGCAGAGACTGTACACTAGGGTATATTAGAAGAATTCAAGGGAGGTATTTAAAGAATGAGGGTATAGTTTGGGTATGTTCGAAGAAAATGATCAGGGTGTTGTTTTAGACCAAAACCCCTGATATGCTTAAAAGGAATCATTTGAGGAATCATTTGAGTATCTTAAGGGCATTCCGCCAGGAAAACGGCAGAGTTATAGGAGCATGACACACCATGATCAAAGGGAATAGAGAATCGTTTTGGTTGTCAGTGTGAAGTGTTGCTAGGATGAAAATTGCAGGTAACAAATCCTGTTTGGTCTACGCTTGTAAAGCAAATGAGATAATTTTTTATTATAAATTTAGTTCGAATGTTTGAATGAACGGATTGACACAGCCGAGGCCCACGCTAAGCAGAGCTTGTTGCGTAGACTCCGACTCCTACCACCCGATCGCGCAATTCCGGGTAACGGGAGAATTTATATGCCAAAGTTGAACGTGCCCTTCAAAGCCGGACACGGCCTGTCCCACTCAACTGACTTCAACTGGCTGCGGCTGCTCCCACCAACCGCTGACCATCCCCGTCAGGAGTCTCAAATATCGAGCGCCGGAGCGACTCGAACCCGGGCTCTCACTACCGGGAGTCCGGTGCTCTACCAACTGAGCTACGGGACAGGCAAATAATGAATGAGAACTCATTTAAAAATAAATGAGTTCTGAATTGTAAGCTTTTGAGGGTACTACTCACTAGAACGGTGTTGCTGAAAGCCGCGATCGAGAGCTGAAAGCTACTTGTAAATCTACTTTCGCCTTTTCACCGAAAAAAGCTTCGGGATAAGCTTGCTTTGTATTATAATATAGGTACCTGCTCAGTTCATTCTTACTGGATTTATTCATTGGATTTATTACTGGCGAGTGGCGTATGACAAACAAGAATAAATAGATCGTCCTCGGTCCTTATCGGCAAAGTTATAATGGAAAGCCGTATATAATGCCATTACAAAATCAGACAAGTGCTTGATTACATAAGTTACAGGTTCATGTGACCTTGATGAAATAACAACCTATTTCCTTGGTCGTTGGACATGTTTCAACAGTTGTGGGGTAAGATTAATTGTTCTGTGAATGCTCCAAGCCCAAAACCTTCCTCATTATCAATTGATTCCATAATGTTCGCGCTACCCTATATTACTGACAGCCAAATCGCAGCCAATATTCGTGCAGCTGCAGAATTAGCACTCACGCCATATCTAAGTTGCGTACAATCAGCAGACGCTTCAGCATGAATGCACCAGCTCCGTGACAGCCTACAAATGTTCTGAACTGCCAGCTTCCTGGGACCACACGCAACCGTCAAGATTGAAGGTCGGTGCGAAGCGCATACTGGGTCAAGTGGAAGCCATTTCGAAAAGCGAGTTCTCGAGATGCTTTGTAAAAATCACTGGCAGTCACTCTGAAAAAGTTACTCATTTTTTTAGGCGATAGTTTTGTGGAAAAAAATCAGCCACCCGATACGAAGCACTCACCTCCTTCGAAGCCCGTCTATCCGCTGCATTCATCTGCATGGCTTCTTTGAATATCTTCCGGTCAATGGTGCTCAGCGCCTCTGCCTCCTTGGACGCTCGACGATCAGCGGGACTCATGGCCATCGCTCCCTTCGGCGCCTTTCTGTCCAGAGTGCTCATCGCGGTAGCCCCCTTGGGTGCACTGCGATCAATCGTTCCCGTTTTCGATCCCTTCCGGCTGACGGGTCCGATCTTGATCCTCTCCATGGTGCTGCCCCTGGACACGCGCCTGTCGACGCTGCCGTTCTTGGACGACTTCCTGTCGATGGTGACCATGGCCAGCGCCTCTTTGGACGCTCTCCGGGGGGAGGCCATGTCTCTCGGCCCGGCAGTCGCCCGCGAGTGGCCGCTCGATCGTACAGCTGCCCGCGCCGGACCCGGCCGCCGCTCGCGTCAGAGGAAGTGACACCGCCGGCCGCTCGCCGTTCGCCGCCGCCGGCCAGGGGCACCCGCCGCCGTCTACTGTGCTCACACGACTGTGCACGGCGCTCGTGCACGCCCCGGGGTGGAGGAGCCAGTGGCCGGACCGGTCTCGGGGGCTCGCCGCCGGCAGACGCTGCCAGCGGCGCCCACTGACGCGCCATGCACCGGCCGAGAGTTCAGGGGACGATGATTTTTGTATTTCAGCAGCGCCGACTCGATTGAATCGTATAAGCTCTTGGGACGTTGGTGCAAGTTTTTTTTTGTGTTTTGAAGCAATTGCTAAATAATTCTCTTTTTAGCTGGAGAGCTACCACTTCAACTGCTGCACATGCTTGGTTACCACTCGATAGGGGCTTGAGCCAGGCTTCAGAATGTCATTATTATTATTATTATTATTATTATTATTATTATTATTATTATTATTATTTATTACTTTTCAAATGTTACTAAGTGTGGTCCAGGTCATCCAACCTGTTTAGTGTTTACCATGTCATATATGGATACGGATTGCCGTTAAACCTCGCCGGCCGATGGGGGGGGGGGGGCAAACCCCCTAAGTTTTTTGCGATTAATCGGAACAAAACGTCAATATAGAGCTGAAACTGGGCATAGCTGATCCGAGTCGAATCGTTTGACACCAACTGCGTTTTCAGGTCAGGTCAGGTCACTGATCTATGACGTCATATGTGAACCTCTTCACGGTCCTAAAATGCAGCAGCTTCGCAACGCCTTCAGTGCCAGAGGAGCTTTCACGAGAAGATGAAGCTTACAGGACCTAGTATCCTGCAGAGGTCTGACAACTTAAAAATCTGAATTTTTCCTAAGGGTCACCTCAGGTCAGGTCGATTGGCGATCTTACCGTTATAAGTCAATAGGAGAAATATAGGAAACTGTTATTTTCGCGCCGCAAATGATCTAAAACTACATCAAGCACATGGAAACGTGATTTCATGCACTCCTTTTACGGTATGATGTTTCACTTTTGCACCGTTGACCTTACGTGACATCATTTATGACGTTACTTAAACCATGGTAACTTTTTCGTAAATAAATCCCGATCAGATTGAGTTAGCAAATCGGGAAACCACCAAGAGTCTCGGGGCCAGACCTGCCGAATCGAATGATGTGCGATGCGACCTCCTTCGACAAACTTCGTATACCTGAGTGGCTCTGACCTGAGATTGACCCTTAGAAGTTAGAGGAAAGAATATGATCTTTGGTGATTGAACCAAGCTTAGGTAAAAGTGAAACAGATTCGTTTTGATCGCCTGATTAGGATAACATTGATGCCTCCACTTCTTCTAATTTGGTAAATTGATTGAAGTATAATTGAAGACGCAATGTAACTTTTGTTTACCAGCTACGAAAGCCTAAAATGAAGCATGTCTGTCATGCCAAAAATATCGCAATTATTGAACTTACTGCAATTATGGAGCAGATCTTGAACTAATTGGTAGGTTGAGGCGCTTCAGTTTTACCTGACCTTAGTGCTGTAAGCATTTGATCTGATTAGTTGAGAATCATATTCTCGATTAGCATTAACTAGCTTTCCGCCACTTGTCGCTCTGTTGAAAGTTAGGCCATGACAAAGCCCAGTTAAAAGTCATGCATGCTTTAGCAAACACTTCAAATTCTGTCAGGCCGAACTGCCGGTGTCCTCATTTTCTAGCACAATTTACCAGTGCTTCATTGTAGAGGAGCCCATTATCATTGATGGCGGTCTGCCTTTAGCAATCGGCTCAGATGCCCGCCTGCAGGCCAGTCAGTTTGTTCCGCGGGCACATACCTGACCGGGGCGGGGTCGGCCTTTCGACACCGGGCTATTGTCGGTCATCTATTCTCTTCTATGGCCAATTATGGCTGTTACTGGCACGGGTTAATAGTCGCCCGGAGCCTACCTCCAATAGCAATACCCCATGGTGGAGTGCGTTGTCAGCGATGCTTTCAGCAGTACACGGCCCGGAAGCAAAGGGATGCTTCCAGCTGCAACTTCATGGTAGGAATGCCAGGGTCTGGGGCAAGTGTCGAACCGCAAAAGCTAGGATGGTTGGATAGTTGACGGGTATGAGGGACCACCGTTAAAGTGGAGTTATTTTGAAATGCGCTGTGATCTATCTCATCACGCTTCTCACGGTTGTTCGGAGTGTGTTTTTCACGAGTTTCTAAGGCCCCTGAAATACCTATACATTATTTCGATTATTGACACCTTGCAGCAACATGTATATGTTACAGGGACATAAGTCGACATAGGTAGAGCTGTATCAAACCACCAACGCTTCGAGAGACAGACAAATCTTCCTAACTTTTATTTGAACGTCTTGGCTTTTGAGAGATAGTTTTGCTATCGCAGATCGTTAGGTAAAATATTACAGCACTCACAATAACAATGGTTTTAAACGCGCACACACACAAAACAAAGCCATAGTGTAATAAATAACAAGTGAAGACACTTCGATTATTTTGTGTAATGCGTTTTCTTCTGCCGGAAGTGCTCTCTCAGAAAATCAACGATATCTTATGACGATTGATGACGTTTTCGTCATTGTAGTGCAAAAGTTTCATCCCTGTAGTGAAAACTTCTAACCCAAGCTGCGCATGTTGGAGCGCAGTTAGATCGAAGAGCACTTTCATCGGGCTGTGGCACATCGATGTCCTCTGGTTTTGAATATTTTCACGCATTTGATAAGAAAATACGATTATTTTCTTTCATTAACCCTCGCCCGCACATGGGGGGGGGGGGTGGTTGCCACGCGTATTTACAAATTGCAACCGAGCTCCGCCGTGGGGTAAGGTGGGCAGGGGTTTTCGCACTACGGCTGCGGTTGAACTACCGTTTGTGGTAGAAACTTCAGGATGATGGCGCGTTTCATACGAAATCTGGCGCAATGTTTATTTGCTTCTGAACTTGTGTTGTTATTGCTGTGAACTCTTGAAGTGGGAGTGTTTCAATAACAATTTGTGGATTATTTGGGTTTCTTGACATAAAAATCGAATAATTTTATGAAACATTGTGTGGAAACTGCAAATACTGATATAATCAATTGCTTAGTTTGGGAATTGATTCACATTTTGTAGAGGTTTGTCTGGCAAATGGTGTAACAAACTTCAAGCCTATCGTGATCTGAAGCTGTTGTAACAAATCGAAATTGCTTTGATGTTCCATAGTACCTTGTTGGAAAGACTGGAGCATGGTTCAAGATGATGTGTAAAAATTCAAGATTTGTGCAAAAGCTTATGACTGAAGAGCGAAAACAGTTCTATATGATGGCTCAATTAAATGTGGAAATGGACGACAAAAGTAGAGTTTCAACATTCCAGCATGCGAGAATAACTTCAGAAATTCATAGTTCTTGTAGTATTGCATTCTTCTTTTGTACAGTTCTAGGTTTTGTTGGGGTATTTCAATTTCAATGTGTCCGTTGAGATATAGGTGGATTGCGGACACAATTTAGAATCATTGCATGGTAGATAGGTACTTGTTCTGTAAAAAGTATGTGATGAATGCCACGAGAAAGTTTTTAATTATTTAATATATGCTCATTGTTGTACCTACAAAAATGCAAGCTTACTAGCACCTAGTTATTGAATCAAATCGAAAGTATTTGCTATGAATGTAAATATGTACCTGCAAAGTATGTCAATAAATTTTTGTGATGTTGACCAGAGAGCTGTATCATCTGGGCACTTATGTTGCTGCTTACATTAGGTGTTAAGCATAGTAATCATGGATGAACTTTGGGCCAATATCTTCAATTCACGGTGTATGTAGCATGTATACAACCCTCACTGATCCTACTATAGCTATAGGCATTTGGCTCCAGCAAGACCAAGGGCATGAACTTCACAGTTGCACAACCCTTTGTCATATACCACCAGTCACTTTTTAGTTTTTTTCCTTAAGGTGCACATGGCAGTGTTCACAATAATGTGCAGAGGGCCTACACAAAAACAACATGATTAGTGTGCACTATGATGCACAGCATTGTACCCTGATTATTTGAATATTCTGATCACTCAACAGTCAGGAGACCATTTTTGAATGTCACATTTATTATACATCACTTGTTAAACAAGAGCATGATGACAAATATTTTGACAAGCAATCATGGTAATATTCCAATAAGTTGGACACCTCCCTGGGCGTCATTTTCCAGGAAGGTACCTCTGCAGGTTAGGTTGAATTGGGTTAAGTTAGGTGAAGTAAGGCGGTTAGGATCAGGTCAGACCGTAAGACCTGGTCAGGTTGATTTTAATCTTTCATTCTAATTTGACATAGATACCTATTACCTATGTTTTTGCTCCAGACTGAACTTCATTAGGTAATGAGTTCATTTTTTTTATCTGTCTTGTTTTGTGTTTTTGTCCCTTATGTTTTGCCCCATAGGCAAGGGTGGAGCTTTTCCAGGGAAGGTGGTGCTGGTGGGGCAAAAAGCTGTCAAACCTGCAATGCTCGGTTGTTAAGTTAGATTATGTGCAACACTGAATCTATTCTTTTAATTACAGAACTAACATTTTGAATTACACAGACATTTCAAAGCTCCTCAATGCGAACAACATAGTGGTTTGCTAAGCAACGAAGTTCTACAAATAAGCAAAAGTTGGAGGGGCAGAACGCTATTTTTTCTCTGACAGCTTCGTAACATGTTACGAAGGCACCAAAACTACTTCAGTAGGTACAGGGTGTAACGAAATTATCCGGACATCTATTTTTCGCCATATCTGTTTGCACAGTTTCCTAATCCTTTCTGATGTTAGAAGTGGGAATATTGGATGAATACGTGCCTCTGCTATCGGTTTTCAACTCAGCAGTGACCTGACCTTGTCATGTGACTGTTGCTCTGAGTAGGAGTCGATTCACAGACGGGTTCACATGGTAGTTTTCGTCCAAGGCAGTTGCGAGAAAGGGATACAATCTCTCCTTTCGTGGTAAAATTGCATGGCGACATCCACGTCGTCATGAGCCAGAAGCTGGTCTGCCAGCAGCTGGACATCAGCAGCAGCCAATTGCACATCTGCCTGAGGTGCAATAAGCTGGGACTTCGGTGGCAGACTCAGCC